GTTTATAGTAAGACACTGCAGATAGGAGGCTGTAGTGCTGATGCTGATTGATTAATGAGTTGATCGCATTATTGATTTAGAGCTGTTTTGATGTTTTGATGAGATGATTTGATAGAGATGCTATTTAAGAGATGATTTGAAAGTTGTATTATTGTGATATTATTTTGATTTAATTTTTATTCGTGTTCCATTGCGTTGATTTGAGACGGGCGATTTGTTGTTGTTTTTTGCGTTACGTGATTGATTGATTGATTGATTTCATTTACAGCATTTGTGATATTCATTACTTATTGTATTATTTTGCATTGCACATTATTCATTCCATTCGTTGATTGATCTGAATGGCAACTTCGATGATCATTTACATCGAAGTTGCCATTTACATCTGGAATAGTTGATCGATCGATCGCATAGAGTGATCGGTGTTGATCAGCCCAGCCGGAGTGGTCATTCATTTGCTGGAAGAGAGAGAGCTGGTGGTGATCGTATAACATGTAACGTGACATTTAACAATCATGTCAGCATGAATTAAAAATTCATGCTGACATGATTATGTTACATGTTACATCTTAAATTATGATAGATATGTATACGCGATTTTAAGGCAGAAATCTGCCTGCCGAAATAAATGAATGCTTTTGCAAAGAAGATGCTTTAAGTTTTATATGATACAGGCAGGTATTACTATTATGGCACGTTGAATAATCGATAGAGTAATGTAGTGTGGACATGGTGCCAGCCTAAATGCGTTTCGAAGGAAACAGCTTCCGTTTCGGCAGCGATTAGTATACGGCGGCAGGCATTTATCTTATAGATGGCAATATTTTTGTGTTTATGAGCAGCGGCGTGTATTTATGGTGGTCACATAGCACTAATGAGATCGGGCAATATGGTGGTGGCATGGCATGGCATGCATTCAGAAGACGGTGAGTGGTGGTGCTGCCTTATAGTTGTGATAGAATGTTTTAGTGACATAATGAGATGATGTTTAGTGACATAATGAGATGATGTTTAGTGACATAATGACATAATTTTAGTGACATAATGACATAATTTTAGTGACATAACTTGTGACATAATGATGTGCTGATGACATATTTTAGATGTGAACAATGAACGTCGTCATTACTGATGCATCTGAGCTAGTGCTAGGCATGAAGGTGCTCATATTGATAAGTGTTATGTGCCTACGATTGATGCTCAGCGATAAAATCATAGAGATCGATAGTTCACTAAATCAGATCATCATAACGACCACAAAAGAGGGCCCGATTGATAACTTGCGAATTCGTATTCTGTATTCGGATTTATTTGTGGCAAGAGAAACGCTTTTTTTGGATCTGGCTGGACCACTTCTTATGATATCACGAGGTCGATATACGATAAATTTTTTGCGATCGGATCGATGGTATGGAGTGACGTTGCATAGTGTGAATGTTATCGATGGTATCGAACAGGTGCATGTAGACGAGAGACTCGTCAAGACTCATTCTACGCATTCATCTTCACTGGATATTGGTGTTCAGGTACGTCACAAACACACATCTATTAAGGAGTTATCATTAGTTTGGAGTTAGTTATTAAGGAGTCATTAAGGAGTTAAGGAGTTAGTTATCAGTCGTCGTCGTTACCTTTTGTCCAGTTGGTTTGTCCGATCCATAGCTAAATGAATCATCTATCTATCCGTTTACCTCTTTTGCATTTTTACCTGTCCTTTGTGCATACCTGGAATGATTTTTAAAGGTGACAAAGCAACGCAAAGGAATAGAAGAAGGCTATCGTTTAGCAGATATATTAATGAATGCTCAATGGACAAATGCAATGAGTAGGTATGTATGTTTATATGTATTATAGTATAAGGTTGAAAGGAAGCTAGTTCTGTATAGACTTGGTGTGTATCGGTTTAGAAAGTTGCCTCTCGATTATGAATACACTTTGAAGTCAGCAGAATGTTTGTGTTTGAAAGAAATGAACTTTTTCGTGGCATTTTACTAATTGTAAGACCAATTTTATGACCATTATACATGTGGCAAACGTTTTACATAGCATGTATATGTAGGTATGTGGATAAATTGTTACTGAGTAACTTTAAGAAGTAAGTTTAAGCTTTAAGAAGTAACTTTAAGAAATAACCTCAGTGAAGCGGTTGTGAAAATTCGAATCTTATGTGACGGATCGATGCTTGAAGAGAGTTTTGTTTTGGACAAAAATCACTTCAATCGTACAATCGTATTACAGGTACGACACGATTTACACGCACTGTTATTCTGTTAAATATTCATTCATTCATAATAATAATAGTAATAATAATAATAATAGTAATAATAATAATAATTGATTAATATGATACGATTCAGCTTGAAACACTCTATGAGATTTCTTGGAATGAGTCCACTCAATTGCTCACTGCCAACATGACACCTAAGTACTGTCATAGGTGAGTTTCTGCTATTATTGATAGTATAATTATTGTTATTTATTATTGTTATTTATTATTATTATTATTATTATGAATAATAATAATAATAAAAAGTAGCAGATTATGCTGGACGACCGAGTTACACGCCAATCAAACCAGGCATAATTATATCTTCAAAAACGAGACCACTTGTAATCATATTGAAAATCAAACGGCCACTGCTCAAATCAGACCACTTATTGGCTACGAATTACGTGGAAATTATTTAATATTCATCACTGGTTATGGCAATAATAATAATAATAATAATAATATCGATGATCATTATCATAACAACAGCAATAATACTAATCAAGAGGCCCTCATCAAAATATCAGCAACCAACTTGATTCAGTCAAAGTCAAATGCATCGCTTGATAGTGAACAGATTCTGATACAATACAGGTAATATTTTACATATATTCGACTTACATTAATAATAATAACAGTAATAGTAATAGTAATAGTAATAATAATAGTAATAATAATAATAATAGTAATAGTAATAATAGTAATAATAATAAGTGCATTTAGCACGTCGCACACAACACAAGATGAATACGTAATGGATGGATTGCAGTGGAACCAGTGGTACGGAATCAGTTATGAATACGAATTATTAAAGCCGTTCCCGTATTCATACCGAAGAAATTTCATCATTCAAGTGTTGTCACAAACGGATAACAGTAATACAAGTAATAGTAATGACGGTAATTATAGCAGTAATAGTATTGGCAGTAATGATAATTCTTCGTTGATATCAGCGAATTCGAGAATTGCGCATCTGGTGTTTCAACCAGACCCGGTTCATTTAACCGATTTTAACCGGCCAACTGAACCGGGTCTAGCAGCGGAAATACCAGCGCATGACGCAGTTAAAATACCGGATGAGCTATCGCCGCCGCCCAGTGTATGGCTGGCTCGAGATTCACTGTTTAGTGGCCATACGATTGCGGTTCAATTGAATTTGGCGTGTTCTCTGGATGATACGGATATGACGACGACGACGACGGCTACGGCTACGGCTATATATGAATATACTGATTATAATTATAATGACGAGAACGCTACTGAGGAGGAATATATTTGGCTGAGTGATTCGCAACCGAATATAACGTTACGGCAAATTGATTTGCACGAAATAATCTGCGACGAGACTCGTCGTTGTGCTGACAGTAATAGTAATGAAATTATTACTCTTAATAATAATAATAATAATAATAATACTGCGGTGAATAAATCGATGCTGTGTAATAAGAAGTTGATATGTTACAAAGTGAAATTCTTAATCGAAAATGATCTCTATGAAGTGGACAATGGTCAGCCATACTGCGAAAGTATCACGCAGCATTATGCACTGAATCGAGCCAGTGCTCTGTACGCGTCTTCCATCTTCTGTATCGCTTACATTTTATTGTTGTTGTTGTTGTTGTTATGTTCGCCGTTCTCATATCAAATACACTTTACTTGATATCATTTTTTGTTGATGACATTTATTAATTACTACACCAGTCAATAATTAATGACTAATTTGGCCTTAAAGTAAAGTATCTTACTGAATGCAAAAATGTGACTCTATGGAAGGAAGTTACTCAGTATTACGAGGATTATTTTACGAAGTTACTGTGATAGTAATAGTAGTATTAATGGTAATAGTAATAGAAATAATAGTAATAGTAAAAGTAAATCCAGGTTACTGTGGTTGTTTTAAGCAGATATTTAGGTGCTATAATATGATTTTAAGAGGAGTTCATATTTAAGAGGATCTCGAAACGACTGCGAACGTTCGTTGCTTCGTACTGGGTTCGCAGGTGCAGATGGAAAATGAAGTGAGATGGTGGTGACTGCAGCAACAACAGCAGCGAGGCGGGGTGTGAGGGTGTGACTGTTGTTGCTAATTAGTTAATTAATTACTTAATTAATTAGTTGGTTCGATGTTGAATGTGTTACGTTGATGATGTTACGCTTTCTACGTTATCACATACAACCACACTATGGGGAATTCAAAGCTGAGGATGTGCACCATTTTTATAAATATAAAACGGTCATTTTTAAAACTGTTGTTGTATTATTATTATTATTATCGTTATTATTATTATTATTATTATTATTATTATTACTGTCATTGCTTGCTAACATTACCATTACTATTATTATCTGCAGAATTTTTTTGGTTGAGTCATGTTATTATTATATGATGTGTTCAGACAGCGCGTCATGGTTTTCCGCAGAACGTCTGTTCGGTTGCACATGATCCCGTATCGGGAATTATGGCCATTGGTACGCGGAATGGAGAGATAAGAATGTTGGTCATTAATTCATTGATGTTTTTGTCATTATTAATGTCATTTTGTCATTATTTTTGTCATTTCAATGTTGTTGTCAAATTGCAGTTTTGGTGCAGAAAATGTGGAGTGGAGTTGTACAGTGCCAGGTGGCTGTATTGGTGTGTCACATATGTATTTTGTGATCGGTTATGGTGCGTTGTTAGTATTGTGCGCGGATCTATCATTTCATAAGTTTGAATTGAGTTCGGATTCCATTAAACGAACCACGGCGTGCCACGAGGAGAGGTGAATTATTATTATTGTAATTGTAATTGTAATTGTAATTGTTATATTTGTTATGTTATGAATATAATTGTTGTGTATATGTAATTTGATAACAGATTGAAACGAATAACGTCGTGCGAGATGCTGACTTTAAATGATAAATCAGATTCACGGCTGCTAGTGGGCACGGTGACCGGGAATGTGTTTGCGTTGCATGTGAATAGCTTGGAATTGTCTGAAGTGATCTTGTTCGAGGAGAATATTCTGCAAAGGTTTTTTGATTGTTGTTGTTATTATAGTTATTGTTATTGGAACGATTTGACAAACGGATTGAAAGTGACAAAATTATGACAAAAGTGCCAAAAAATGACAAAAATTGTTCAGCGTAGCATCGTTGAGTGATATGGCGAGCAGATCAGTGGATTTGATAGTGATTGATTCGAACGATACAACCAAATTATTGATCTTGTTTAATAGCGTATGTGTGGTTTATTATGACACGATTAAGTGTGAAGTGCTACGGGTGTGGAGTCATCAGCAACCCGTTACGGTGATTCCTTATTATTATTATTATTATTATTATTATTATTATTATTGTCATTGTGATTATTATTGGTCGTAATTGAAGTTGAATTTGAATTGATAAAAGAATTGATTTACAGTTTATTTCGTGGACAGTAAACGAAAATGAGTTCGTATGCTCACACGTAGATGGTTCGTTTGACGTATGGTGCCTGAACAGCGAACAGCCAGTGGAACCGTCAACAATTTTATTCGGACCATATCCATGCACGCCAATCACTAAAATATTGTGTGCTTGTACAATTAGGTCGGTGTATTCTTTATCTGTTTGGTGATGATTACTTTACTTGTAACTCTTATAGTAATAGTAGTAATGATAATAGTAATAGTAATAATGATAATAATAGTAATAATACTAGAGCATTTCTAAAAGGTAGTTGTTTCGGGCAGAATGAGATGCTACGGATCGGGTAGATGTATTTAGGTGTTAGAATTTTAGTGATAATTTTAGTGATAATTTGGTGATAATTTTAGTGATAATTTGGTGATAATTTGGTGATAATTCTGGTGATAATTTGGTGATAATTCTAGTGATAATTTGGTGATAATTCTAGTGATAATTTGGTGATAATTCAAGTGATAATTTGGTGATAATTCTAGTGATAATTTGGTGATAATAATTTTAGTGATAGTAGAAATGAAATGGTGAAATTGTTTTGCGGTGGTATGCCAAGAGCATCGTATGGTGATCGTTACACATTGACTGCGATGCGTTCGTCGAATCGAGTGATAGTGTTGGACTTTGCGAGTAGTGTGGTGGATTTCTTTATTATACCGTCGGTGTGTTCTTCTACAGAAGGTTATTATTATTGTTGTTGTTGTTGGTGTTGTTTTGGATGAATGGTTAAGGAAGAAGGCAAGGAAATTTGATTTGGGATGGGATGGATGGCAATTGCTTGATGGGATGGCAGGCAGACGGCAATTAGCTTGAGATGAAGTCTGATGTGAGCTTGAGCCTGAGCTTGAGGTGGAGTTGCTTTGCCTTTTGCCTATTTGTGGGACTGTAAAGAGCTTTGCTTTGGTGCAATGGGGTTAGTTTAGGCTCTAAATAAAGGAGATTCATTCATTCCCTCAAATGTATGTTAGAGATAGATAAAGCCGTTGGTGATAATTAGGGTGAATAGATGAAATTTTATTAATTAGTTAAAGAAGTTGAAGTGACTTGTGGGATTGAGTTGAGTTAAATGTGATTTTAGAATGTGATTATTCAAAAGCGTTAGCGCTCGTGGTGTTATGTGAACAGGAATTGGTGTGTATTGATTTGGCTGATAGAAAATGGCCAGTATTCAATTTGCCGTACCTGAACTCGATACATTCGTCAACGATCACCTTCGTTGCACATCATTCGAATATCAGTGAGCACGTTTTTAAGGTTTGTTATTATTGTGTTATTATTATTATTATTATTATTATTATTATTATTATTATT